GCTGGCCGCGCTGGACTGGCAACGGTGGCCTTAATGCTCACGACAGTGTGCTCGGAAGCCTTAATTCCGGCTTATTCTTCAGTGCGTAGTTGCTCCCGAGACCCTTCTGTTGGTGCAGCCACCTGCAGAGCTTTATTTGCCGTCCCTCTAATGAGTCACGCCAGCCTGCGCTCATCAGAAGGCTGCTCTCAGCTGTTAGGCCTCCTGGCATTGCTTCCCCACTCCCTCTCCAGAAACACTGTGTTCCTGTGGTGCTTGGGAAGGCAGGAGGAAGCCAGGTGGGGTGGTGCGGTGCTAATCTAAAATAGACAACTGCTGAGGATGAGGTGTGCTCGGCTTGAGGAGCAGGTATCTCTGCGAAACCCCTTTGTGCTTCATCAAAGTTCTGTTCCGTGCCCCCAGCTTGTCTTTGGCAGCCGGTGTAAAAATAAACTGACCCAGTAAGTCAATACTGCTGTGACAAGGGCTGTTTCTGTTTCCTTCTCCTCTGCCTGATTTCCAGCCTTTAAATAGCAACCTTGCTCTTGATGCAAAGTTTCCTTTCCTTAATAGAGAAAAAGGAGTGCAGGCGGGAGCACCGCTCGCAGTGCGGCCAGGAGCCTCCCCGTGACATGGTGCACCCCAATGTCATCTGCGACGGCTGCGAAGGGCCGGTGGTGGGTGCCAGGTTCAAGTGCACCGTCTGTCCAGACTATGACCTGTGCAGCACCTGTGAGGGGAAAGGCATCCACAAGGAGCACAACATGGTGATGTTTCAAAGTCCGCTGCTAAATCCGTTTGAGGTGAGCAAAATCCATAGAGGGGAACCAGTGAACGGGATATTCCTCAAATTTTAAGTTTCAGTTACTCAGAATCTGGCTGTGCAAACGGAGTCACGTGAACATTACCCTTTACAGTGGCTTCCCCGAGGACGCTGGCTCCGTAAAATGCGGCATGGTGTGCCGCCCTTCCCCTGGATGCACTGCTGGGGGTATCCTGGCCCTGCAGCTCCGTGCCAGAACTCCGAACAAGCCCAAGCCAGTGCTGCAGCCTCCAGTCCACCTGCTGCAGAAGGTGAGAGGAGGTGTTCTGGTAGACAGGGAGGTGGTGGAGCCAGAGTAGCTGAGGTTTTGCAGCACAGGGTGGAATCTGGGTGGAAAAACAGACATAGGAACTACTATGATTTGCCTGAAATAACGAGCGCCTTTCAGTACAGAGTGGGGTTATTTTAAGGCATGCTTGGGCCCATGCAGTAGATGAGGATGCAGAGAAAGTATCTGGAACCAAAGCCGAGCTGTTGGGTCAAGCATGTCATGACTCCAGATCTGCCTTTCAGCATGGCTAATGAGCCTTAACAATGCTAATGCCACTGGTTTTCAGTTCCAGCAGTAGCTCAGAGTTAGTTTTTTGCCTCTGTGCTGCCTTTGTTGTGCAGCGTATGAGAGTGACAGGAAATAATCCCCAAGATCTCACGGGGTTACACTCTGTAGGTGCTCTTTCCCTCTGAGCTCCTATGTGTGCTAACAGAAATTGTTTTTCTAGAAGCTTCTACTAACAGTCAGCCTCAGGACCCCAATGTCACCTTCTTAAAGAATGTTGGGGAGAGTGTTGCAGCTTTTCTGAGCCCCCTGGGTAAGTGACTTGCAGTTTGTTATCCCAATCCCTGAGACTGGCCTAAAGGTCCCTTTAACAGGAGCAGCAGTCAGCTGTTGTGACTGATACCAGAACTACCTCATGCTACTAAGCCTTGAAGGCTTAATTTATTCCTGGTACTAATAGTGCCTAGGCTTAGGACAGCCACTCAGTACCTTTTCAGAGCCCTCCTTTGGGAGGAAATGAGGAAAGATTTCATTAACGTGTCACCACTGTAACACTAACTTTAAGTCAGCGGTGACTGAGGATTTTTGCCTGGCTTATGTGGACGTAGGCAACGTCTGCCCTGACCCTCTAAATGTATGGCTTGTCTGCCTAGAGGAAGATGGCACTTTGGTGCTTAACTATTCTTTGTTTAAAGAATACTTTGCATTTTAATTCCTACATGTTATGCAGCGAACTATAGGATTACAGATACCTTGCAGCATTTAGACCAGGATTGATCCAAAGCACAGCCCTAAGTGAGCATGGAAAAATCTGTTAAGACCCTCTCCATCTCAAATGCATTTCTAGGTATTGAAGTTGATATCGATGTGGAACACGGAGGGCAGAGAAGCAAAGTGACCCCTGCTTCTCCCAATCAAGAGCAGAACAGTGCCGAGTCAAGCAGCAGTACTGTTAACCAGAATGTTCCGACCAAACCAGACTGGAATAACACCGATTCCACTACTTCCACTACAGAAGTAAATGCCGTTGCAGAGCAGATACAAGACATGGTGATAGATCCTGTGCCCACACAAATGGAAGATGGCAGCTTCCAGTCACAGGTACAAGAACTATGACACTAACATGTTTTCTGGGGCTGTACTAAAAAGAAATATAATCATTCAGCATGCATTGTGAGATTGAATATTAACATGCTGGCGGATTAAGTGATAGCACCTTTGCTTGACAGGTTTACAGCAAAGGTGGTGGGACTTGTGTGGATGTAACTCTTCGTATTAAAGGCAGATAGTAGGAGCATGCATCCTACCTGGAAAGCACTGCAGCACCTGGGCCTCTTCTCTTTCCATTTCAGGAACACAGTGAGTCGAGCAGTTCATCAGGGGGTGATGAGGACTGGACCCACTTATCTTCCAAAGAAGTGGATCCTTCCACAGGTGAACTGCAGTCTCTGCAAATGCCAGAGACAGATGGTCCCAGCTCCCTGGATGTATCTCAGGATCCTCCCCAACCAGGGCCTACAGGACTGCGAGAAGCTGCACTCTACCCACATCTCCCACCAGGTATGAGAATGTGCGCAGGTTCCATAGCCGAGAGTAGTTGTCACTCGGGAACTGCCAACTTGCCTGACATAGCAGAGCTGCGTTTAGAGATGGTAGAACCCAAGGTCATATAAGTTGTAGCTAAACTTGTCCATAACTTTGTTAGCAGGTGTGGCAGCTCTTGCACCCTGCTACAGACAGTTGTGTGGTTCTCCTCTTGAATGTGGGCAGCTAAGTGTTAACAAGACTTCTGACCTTAGCCTAATATGCCATTCAAACAATATGAAAAAAGGGGGTATCCTAAATTGTGTCCTTGCTATTTACTCTTCAAGAGAGCCCTTCAGTGCAGGTGCAGACTAGTACATCCTGGGACTTTAAGACAGCATTTTTCTGGTGGGAGCCAGTAACAGTAGGCCAGGCCACTTAACTGAGATGAACAGCACAGAGTCCTACAGCAAGGCCAGCTTGAGTCTGACTCAGCAGTTTTCTTAGCTGGTTATGTATCTCTTACCTCAAACATCTGCCCTCCTGGGAGACAAAGGAGAGCATGTCTTCTAGCATTTCACTAGCTATGCTAGCTTTACTAGGATTAGTGCCAACCTGCCTATGGTGTGGTATTAAACCCTTGGCTGGTTTGCCAATTACATGAAATATTTCAACTTTCAACTATTCTCTTAACAGAAGCAGACCCTCGCCTTATTGAATCTCTGTCCCAGATGCTCTCTATGGGCTTCTCTGATGAGGGTGGATGGCTCACTCGACTCCTGCAGACAAAGAACTGCGACATTGGGGCAGCACTAGATGCCATCCAGTACTCCAAGCAGCCACCTCACTTGTAGTAGTCTGTGTAATAAGAAGCACTTTCCTTCTAACTGAAAGCAGACAATGCAGTATAACTCACTTAACAGTTAATCTTTCTTCCTGCTAAGGGTTTCTGTCTCATGTTCCTAAGTGCTTGTAGAATGGAGGAAAAATAAATACTTCCTGTGATGAGTCTGTGTGAGTGTTTAAGTATCACAGCTGTGCTACTGTGTTTACTGAAACTGAGTTAAAAGAGCAGAGCATGTGAGTTCATGAAGTAGCTCCTTGTGCAAGGGAGGCAGTGCAGGACTGCAGGCCTGCCTTTTTGCACCTACCTTGGTGTACCCTCTCAGGGCTACACTTCTGAAGAGAAATCAAATGCTTTCCTGGCTCTGACACCTGCTCTGCAGCTCTGTAAGAAAGGGTTGCTATGGAGGATCTAAACAAAGAAGTAGCACAGGGTAAAAGAGCTGTAGCTTGTAATAGGGAATTAATCACAAAATTTAATTGTGCTGGCCAGGAATCCTTAAAGCCTTGGAGCTTTCTCACCCCCAAGCTGACCTACTTCCATTCTTATTTCTAGCTGATGAGGTTGCTAGACAACGCTAATCCTGCAACAGTCTCTTCCACCCTCGTATCCTTCCCCTAAACACAGCCACAGAGCAAGTAAACAACTTTAATAGTGCAGTTCTGCAAGGCCATATTCAGGTCAAAATCTTGGCACTCAACATACCAAATACATTGTAGAGACAAACAAGAAAGCAATGGCAAAGATGCCTGAACTTGTCAGAGATCATCATCAAACTCCTCACCTGTGCAGAAGAGGTGTTCATAGGAAACACTGCTAGGCTTTGGCCCGGTGTTCCAGTTAACAAGGGTGTTTGCCCTCCTGGTGATATCCAAACAGCACCTTCCTGCACTCGTCTCCAAGACACCAGATCCTGCCCTTATCAATGGGCTTTGAGGTTCTCTGAATAACACCACCTCCTCCTCTGAGCAACTGGTGCTGGGCAGTTTTGAGGCAAGCCACTCGGTGCTAGAAACATGCTTTTTAAATTGAAAACCTGTACCTGGAGGTGGAGTTCTTCCGGCCTGTTCTGTGCATCCACTAGCCCCCCCAGTGCCTGCTGCAGTGGTGCTGTGCAGCCCCAACCTTCCACTGCCCTCCCGTGGTGACAGGGTGACCCTGGCAGCATTTTCACTATGGCTGTCGGAAGATGAGAGAAATTTTTCCCACTTCGAGGGTTTGGTACGAGCAGTTGGGGTTTGTGTATTCTCCTCAGGCACTATGGTCTCACAGGCAGCAGGAACCATACTGCCTCCAGAAACAGCATCTCCCTCATCGCGATCAGGCACTGCTACAAAACATTCCTTGCGCTGTAAGAAAAAAAAAAAAAGTGTTTGGTTATAAATCCCAGCTGCACAGAAGCAGGCAAAGAAAGAGCACTCAGGTCCTTCCAACGCACCCAAGTCCACAGCAGCCCTCCGCGGCAGAGCTGAGGCTGGTGTGCTGGGGGGAGCTGGGGGCTCGGGGCTGGGCAGGCTCAGGCCAGCCTCACTGGCACTGCAGGTAACCGCAGTCGCCTCGGTGATCCCATGCTGGACAGGTGCTGCTGCACAGTAAGGCAAAGCTGCAGTCTGCAGCTGTGCTGATGGAGGAATCAGGCTCAACCACTCAGCTTACACAAGGTGGCATTGTTTTTGCCTGATTAAAACCTTTCAGAGAGAAACTCCTGACCCAATTTTCTTCCTCTCCCCAGTCACTCAAATAGAAGAGCAAAGGAAGACTCATAAAACTTCAAAATTATGACACAAAAGAGGTCAGGAGAACACTGTTTTGTTTTACTGGTACGAAGCACCTTCTACAACTGAAATACCTCAGAGATTTTAACCTTTTTGGCTTGGTAGGCAAGCTGGAAAACTCCATTTTCCTCTGCGTACTCCTGCACATCATGGGAGAGGAAGTTCTGCTGCTGTTTCCTGGCCAAGAGAACCATTCACAAAGAGGACAGATTAGCTCTACTACATTTTTTCATGAATCCCCACAAGTGTTCATAAAGTTAATGGCTCTAGCAGTAAAGGAAGTTTTACTCCCAAATATCAAAACCCTGCTCAGGTCAGGTCATACACTGCAACTGTACTTTGTTCAGCTATCAGAGATGAGCTACCTCCCACACCTCCAAACCAAATGTCACCACTCAGGGGCAGCAATTACAAAAAAAAGTTCTTTCTCTACCTTCGTTCTTCCATGGTGTTCCTTCTCTGGGAACAGAACTGTTGCCTTTCTGTACCTGCCGCCACCTCCTCTCCATCTTTCTGATCGTCACTGTCCTGGTCCAGATATTTACTCCAGCGACTGACTTCTGGCCGTCCCTCCTACAACATCAGAGAATTACTGAAAACAGCAAAATACAGGGTTCTCATTTCTGGCATTGTTACGGATGTGCTAAGTGCCTCAAACCACAAGTCAGTTTAGGACGCTTTTTCCTGTATCGTGTTCCCAGGTTCAGTATCCCGGTGGAGCAGAAATCTTCTGTCTACATTTCATTCTCTTTGCTGGAGCCTCTCTGGTTGCACACGCTATTTCAGCTGTCTGAACCCAGATAAAGGGATGGCGGATTTCACTTTGATTCACCCAGGCCAGTGTGGGGTGGTATTTACCTCAGCTTTGTAGGTATCTTACCTGCTGGACTGAACTGTCTTCACGTGGGGCTGCTCTATTTTTGCTCTCATTTACAGAGTCTTCTACGCACCTAAAACAGAAGTTTAAACTAGAGTTTCTAGAACATGCTTCTGTCTGTTGGTTTATAATTTTCAAATCGCTTAGTCCTAGCACAAGGGATTGGATAGAAAGCATGGACAGGAACACCGGACAGGCAGCGTGTCAGAAAAAAACGATCTACAGAAAAGCAGCGTGTCAGAAAAAAAAGGATCTATAGAAAAGCAGATGTCAAATGAAGGATTTGCAAGATATATTGCCCAAATACTTGGAAAAAATCTAGTTAGAGGGTAGCCCTCCTTCTTTCTATACAAATAGAGTGGCAAGTTCGATCTATAGCCACTAATCATGAAATGATAAATTCCAGTTGATCACAACTAGGGATATAACAGCCTGTCTTTTGGGACAGCAGCTTAAGCCCACTAATTATATCCCAAGCAACCAAGGAAAAAGGGAAGTTATTTCACAATGTTTTGAATTTCACAATGTTTTGAGAATAGAAATAGCAACCCGTTTTGATAAAGTGAACAAACAATGAGTTTTTCTCCCAAAGCTTAACCCTGAAGAACTGCGTATACACAACTAAGTTATCTAACTAGCTTTAACTGATTTCTGAAAATAACCTTGAGTAGAAAGGAAGCTGGACCAGTTCAAGACCAGTTCAAGATTAAGTAAATTGTAAACAGATTCAGGAATGAAATAAACAGGAAAGTGCTACTCAGATTTTCCAGCCCAAACAGGAATTACACCCAAACTCTTGCACTACACAAGTCTTTTTATCAGTAGCAGCAGCAATTACTCAACAGATTCGCAGTGTGAAACCCCTGAATGCCAGCAGTTCTGCAGCAACGGCTTAGAGTGGAGGATGTTTTCTCTCTGAGGGTGCACCTCTGCACAGCTTGTCAGTCTGTAAGATGGACACCTCCACTGTCAGCTTATCAAACAGTAAATAAGAAAGACTGATTAAAAAAAAACAACAAACCCCAAACCAAGTCCTACTGTGTGTATTTTAATGAGTAAAGGCCTAACCAACACACACTATGGATCAACCAAACTTATCTGAAAACATTCCTTGTCAAAAGAAACACACCAGGACACTAAACCCAACAAACAGCTTGTTCCTACAAAGTGATGACAAAACTGGCATGTGTCACGGCTTTGCAACAGGACAGAAAACCCTCCCGGGAGCTCAGTTTAGGGAAGAGGCACCCAATGTGTGAAGACGTGCATCAACTGTAGCGCATCAAAAGAAACAGGCAGATAAAGATTAAACACTACCGAGACGTCCAGCCAATGGCTTCCTCTGCCTGACCCTGCAGCAAGTTTAATTTCTGGACATGGCGCCTACAGTCCAGGCCAGACCCTTGGCCGTAAACCTGAGGAAAAAAAAAAGAATAAAAACCAGGCTTAGGGAGCAGCCAGAAGGAAACAGCACGAAGTGAGGCTCCACCACAGGTAATGTGATAGGACAAGGGGGAAGGGCTGTAAACTGAAAGAGGGCAGCTTGAGATTGGATATTAGGAGGAAATTCTCCACCATGAGGGTGGTGAGGCCCTGGCACAGGTTGCCCAGAGAAGCTGTGGCTGCCCCCTCCCTGGCACTGTTCAAGGCCAGGTTGGATGGAGCTCTGAGCAGCCTCGGCTGGTGGAAGATGTCCCTGCTCATGGCAGGGGGGCTGGAACCAGATGACCTTTAAGGTTCCTTCCAACCAAAACCATTCTATGATTCTAATGCTGAAGCGCGAACTAACGCCAGCACACACGGCTGGGCGTGTGGTCCCCGGCT